AATGCGCGAGTGCCAGTTTGAAAGGTCGCATATCGGTGAGATTCTGGTTTTGGGGAATCTTTCGCAAGTCCAAATGACCAATAGAGCCATTACCACAAAAACAGCCAAAGTACCGGAGACTAAGGTAGAAACTCTGAGATTACCTAGATGTGGCAAAAAGAATTTTGAACATTCAACATTTGCAATAAAAACATCATGAGACACGTCAACTTACAGCTAGACTCTTCTCTTTTCGGGTGACATGCACAAGCTCGTGAGGATGCGCCGTTGTGGTTCCGACGGTTTTGACATTGGTGACAGTTTCTGTGCAGGTAGGCATTGACTGTTGGGACTGCAAGACCAAGTCAACATAGACCTCTTCTTGAGGATTGAGACATGCATGCTCTCACCATCGGATAAAGAACCTTGAGCATTTGTGGGTTGAGATCTCTGCAATGAGAGTCCGCGAGCTGAAATGTGGAACAGAAAGGTAAGCGTGTTGGCAAACGGTTGTACTATTTTCCTCGGAGCCCAGTGTAAAGAACTCACAGATTCGGATGCGTTGAGGGTTGCTCTCTTCAAAGCCTGGCTTTTCTTTCAAACTCATCTCACCCGTCTGGGAATCGGCTACTTTAGATAATCCAGTCTTGACATGCCTGTTGTACATTAGGATCGGTGTTTGTGAATAGATGAAGATGTAGTCGATTGGTATGGTCTAAACACGAGAGAAATTCAATGGATGGACCGTCACAGGAAAAGGGGGAACCTCTCCAGAATTTAACGCTAACTGAAGGTTGAATGATTTGGACCGTGCTTAAACAACATAAAACTTGATATGTACGGATTATCCTGTAAGACCTACGGTCATTACACAATACCCAATACAATACACTTAATATTTAACACTTAGCTTAGGCCTTGTTTTCATTATCTATAAAGTTGTTTTCGCGTTCCTCTTGCTTCTGGCTCCTTAGAGATATCGGGACTAATCTCCTGCCCCTTATCCTTCGGAACCAGGTATGATCTCATTATTTCTTTCATCTCTTTTCTTTCTTATTTACTAGATAGCCTGCCTTAGAGATATCGGGACTAATCTCCTGCCCCTTATCCTTCGGAACCAGCGCTTTCCGTTGATATTTGCAATTTCAGATTAGATCTCTTGGGTTCTAGAAACCCTTCGCTGTGTTCGCACAGTGTCCCGTCCGTAGTATTGAGTGAAGGTTCTCCCGAACCTTACACTTTTTTTTTCTCAAACCCAAAATAGAGAATCCGATTTTTTTTTCTTCTTCCTAAACTTCAATTCAAACTTAACATAATCGATACAACTACTCAAACGAATGCGCCACGTCAAACCGATTGAGTTCGAGGACTTCATTTGAGAACTCAAACTTAGTTCGCATTCACTTACCCCACGATTGATCGTCGTGTATGACGACACGTCGACAACCTCATCCTACCAAACCGCCAGGCCCGCCAGCACCTTTGCCAGACCCAGAAGCGATTATTCGCGCGAATCGACGATTACAACGTCAATCAAGACCAGATCCGAACATCGCTAGACAAGTTGTCTCTCAACAACAACTGCCGATCACGCCTTCTCGTAACCGAGCAGATCAAGTACCGCCGGTGACACCGATCCGCACTCGTACCGAACCTCCTGCCTTACCTCCTCTGCCAGAGTCAGACGAATCGCCACTTTCTTCTTTACCACCATCTCCTACGCCAGACCACGATTCCCGCAAACCATTCCCAAAAATGACCGACGAAACGACTACCAAGCCAGACTCAGACTTGATGAAGGCCATCGTTGAATCACAAGTCGCCAGCAACCGCCGAATGGAGAAGTTCGAGGATTTAATGTTGAAACTTATGATATCCAAAGAAACAACTTCTGGTGCTTCTACCTCGGAGGAATCTAAACCACCGCCGGGGTTAGATTTGACAAAGTTCCGAACGTCTGACGGACCAGTCTATAAGGGACCGTACCGCGATGCCGAACCTTTTCTCTTATGGTACTCGTCGTTGAAGACGTTTTTCCGCACTAAAGGTGTGACGCTGGATACTGACCGAATCACGCTAGTCGGGAACTTCTTGGAAGAACCCAATGCCCACGCCTTTTACGAAGGAGGGTTCGACCGTTTCATCAAAGGCACCTGGAAGGAGTTTTTGGTCCAGCTCTTCGACTCCTGTCTGCCTAGTGACTGGAACAGTCGTTTATTTGAGAAAGCCCAACATTTGAAGATGTCACAGTACGAAGACTTCATCGCATACAGCACTAGAGCTCGTGGTATTCAAGTATTAATCAATTTCCATACAATTGTCATAAACGATCATCAACTAGCTACCTTTGTGGAGTATGGAATGATAGAAGAATTGAAAACCGCGGTTAAATTATGGGGATTTACGAAGCACACCAAGGATTTTGCTTATCATACCTTCGAGAATCAATGTGAAACTCTATATGCTTCCTTAGTCGCCTCTCACGCTATCGTCAAGAAAACCAGAACTTTTCCTACCCCGTCATACAACCACACCGCTTCTCAGAGTCGTTCTAGGGTCGCCACAACCAACACCTCAGGCCGGTTAACCGATGAAGAGTTCACATGGAAGATCCACTCTTACTTGGACGTCCTCGGCAAGTGTCACTTTTGTAAAGGCTACTGTGGAAGCGAGTACCGCGCTTGCAAAGGCCCTTACGTCAGAGAAAAGGTAGTTTTTCCTCCTGGATACGTGGCTCCTCCTAAGCCAGCGAATTATATCCCACCGAAAGCTAGATCGTCACCGCCTGGAGCTCACAACCAAGCCGGTCGAACCAACCAACCGCCAGCAGGCCGACCAGCGCCGTCTTATGCCAAAGTGGCGGCTGCTGGAGAATTCCCAGACATGGATGAAGCATCGGTTGCAGCTCTCCAAGCCCTAGACGATGAGCTCGACCTAGCGGAAGCCGAAGGGTGCGTTCCCCCCCCCAAATCCCCTCGTGTCATAATTGAATTCACCTGTAACGGCAGAACGTTACGAGCACTAGCTGATCCAGGGGCTGAGGTTAATCTCCTAACAGATCGGGCGGCAGAGCAACTTCACCTTAAGCGTAGAAAACTGGTGAAGCCGACACACCTCAGCCTAGCTGTCGCCACCGAATCATCCCCGCCGCCATTGACACACTTCACCACCATCGACCTGACTGAATCAACATCAGGAAGAAAATTCGATCGAGTGTATTGCAAGCTAGGAGATGTTGGAGGTGGATTTGATATGATATTGGGCACCCCTTTCCTCAATCTATTTCAATTATCTGTTTCTGTCAATCAACGTGCTATAACTTGTGAGCGCACTGGGTTTAAAATTTATGACTATCGCGTATTGGAAGAAATAAAAGAAAAACACGCCAAGCTTTTAATTCCGCGTATCACCGAGCCTTTGAAAGAGTGCCGCGAGTCCTGGGAGCGTCGCTTAAGTCTGCGAGAAGATTTATCATTGATGAGCGTAAATGAAGATAGTGAGACTCAGTTGCTTGAAGAATTCAGAGACCTCTTCCCCATTGACATACCAGCAGTTTCAGACGAAGCCGAAGATGAAGGTCTGTTTGTTGACGGAACCTTTCCTGAAAAAATGCAGAATGAAAGTTCGAAGATCAGACATAAAATCATCTTGACGGATCCAGACGCAGTCATCAAGGAGAAGCAATATAACTACCCGCCTAAGCATATGAATGCTTGGAAGAAACTTATTGATCAACATGTAGCGGCTGGAAGAATACGTCGATCAACCAGTCAATACGCATCGCCGAGTTTGATTATCCCGAAGAAGGACCCTACCGAACTTCCAAGATGGGTATGTGATTACCGCGTCTTGAATAGCCTGACCGTGAGGGACCGCGCGCCATTGCCAAATGTGGACAGGTTGGTCAGGCTGGTGGCTACAGGGAAGTTTTTCTCCATCATCGACCTCACCAACGCCTTTTTTCAAACTCGGATGAGAGATGCTGACATACCTTTAACGGCTGTCTATACCCCGTGGGGACTCTACAAGTGGTGTGTTATGCCGATGGGACTTACAAACGCACCAAGTACACATCAAGGACGGCTGGAAGAGGCGTTAGGAGATCTTTTGAATTCAATTTGTGTGGTATATTTAGATGACATAGTAGTTTTTTCGAATTCACCTGAAGAACATGAAATACATACTCGCAAAGTTCTTCAGAAGCTGAGAGAAGCAAACTTATACTGTAGCAAGAAGAAAACTAAACTATTCAGGGAGGAAATAAAGTTTTTAGGACATTGGATATCAGCAAAAGGAATCAGAGTAGATGGCGAGAAAGTCGAACAAGTGATGAACTGGAAGACACCAAAATCAGCTAAGGGTATCAAGAAGTTTTTAGGAACCGTGCAGTGGATGAAAAAATTCATCTGGGGGTTAGAAAAACATGTCAACAAACTCACACCACTCACCAGCACCAAACTTGATGCGTCGAAATTTGCATGGGGGCCGGTAGAAGACGAGGCTTTCCAGAACATCAAGCGCTTGATGACAACCTTACCCCACCTGAAAAACATCGACTTCGATTCTGACGACCCGCTGTGGCTTTTCACCGACGCATCTGGAGCGGGCTTAGGAGCCGCATTATTTCAAGGCAAGGAATGGAAGTTAGCATCACCAATAGCGTACGAATCTAGACAAATGTTGCCAGCGGAGAGAAACTACCCGGTTCACGAACAAGAACTCTTGGCGGTGATGCATGCGCTACAAAAATGGCGGATGATGTTGCTTGGTATGAAGATCAATATCATGAGTGATCACCACTCCTTGACCTACTTACTTAAACAACGCAACCTTAGTCGAAGGCAAGCCAGATGGATCGAAACACTAGCTGATTTTGACGTAGAATTCAAGTATGTGAAGGGTGAAGACAATGGGGTCGCAGACGCATTATCGAGGAAGGGATGTGATGAAGAAGAAGTGGACGTTGAGGGTGTTCAATGCATTGCAGCGTTGGTGGAGGCCGGACCAACTCTCTCACCTCAACTGAAGAAGAGAATTTGCGAAGGGTACGACAGCGACTCCTTCTACAGCGCGGTCCTCTCAGCCCTACCCTTGCGTGAGGACTGCTCGATTCAGGAAGGTCTCCTTTTCATCGAAAATCGCCTTTATATTCCGTGTATTGGTGACTTACGAATGGAACTCGTGGATGAAGCACATTTGAGACTAGGCCATCTAGGATATCTTAAAACCATAACAGATCTACGTCGAGAATTCTTTTGGCCACGAATGGCAAAGGATGTGAATGAGTTTGTGCGGTCGTGTGATACTTGTCAGAAAACGAAGAGCCCAACGCAAGCGCCATTGGGGAAGATGCTGACACCAAACATTCCCAGCCGACCACTCGAGTGTCTTGCGATTGACTTTATTGGGCCATTGCCAAAAGTCAACAGTTACGACATGCTCCTGACCGTGACATGCAGATTGACGGGCTTCACGAAACTCATTCCATGTGGACAAACTGACACAGCCGAAAAAACCGCGACACGCCTCTTCTCGAATTGGACTAGCACATTTGGACCTCCAGCGACGATCATCAGTGATCGCGACAAAACCTGGACGTCGAATTTCTGGAAGGCCCTCATGCGGCGCAGTGGTATTAGTTTCCACATGTCGACGGCTTTTCATCCACAAGCAGATGGTAGGAGTGAGAGGACCAATCGGACAGTGGGACAAGTGTTGAGGTCTTTCACGGCCAAGAGACAGGGGAAGTGGTTGGAATCACTCGCAGCGGTAGAGTACGCTATCAATGGGGCGACCAATGTGGCGATTGGGAAGTCACCGTTCGAGATCATCTTCGGACGCGAGCAGAGGCCCATCTCGTCGGAGGAAACGGAGACGGCGGACCCCTCAGCGTTAACACGATGGTTCAAGACGCGCGAAGATGCCTGGGCAAATGCTCGCGATGCATTATGGACGAGCCGAGTTCAGCAAGCCATCCAACATAACAAACGATGCAGACCGTCCGATCCATTAGAAACGGATTCGTGGGCATTACTGGATTCAAGTGATTGGCGAGGACGCCATCAAGGGGGAGTAGATAAGCTGAAAGAGAAATTTGAAGGTCCTTACCGAGTCATCAAGTCTTCTAACCACGGGCAGAATGTCGAGCTGGAACTTCCGTCAGGAGATAGGCGTCATAATGTCTTCCATGTGTCGAAAGTGAAGCCTTATGTCGAAAGGGACATTGGAGGGGTGAATACGTTGGTTCAAGGGGTCCGGAAGTAAGTTCCTCTCCTCTGTATGACACCGCCGTAGTATACTACGAAAAAATTAGTCAAAACAACACCTCGGCCACGCTGTGAGCACAACCTTTTCGGCGTTTTTTTTCCCTAGGTCACCGAGGCACTTGGACGACGGCGGAGTGTACTCAACAATATTCATCCTCTCAAGACCAACTTCAACTCAAGCTCTCAATTTTCTTTTGTTCTTTTGAATTCTCACTTCCTTTTTTCTTTTCTTTTCTTCTTCTTTCTGTTTTCTTTCTTTCTTTTCTTTTAGGCTGGAGCTACTTTAGTTGCAAAACACCAACCGTGCGGGCAAGCCTTTTCTTTTTTTTCTTTTCTCCTAGAAGGAATTCTTATGTGGCTATTTTTCAATTGTTCATTTCCTTTTTTTTCACCTCACGCTCAAAATCTCATACCAAGATTGTGTGCGGGCATGCTCTGTTCTTTTTATAGGAGGGGAGACTGTAAGACCTACGGTCATTACACAATACCCAATACAATACACTTAATATTTAACACTTAGCTTAGGCCTTGTTTTCATTATCTATAAAGTTGTTTTCGCGTTCCTCTTGCTTCTGGCTCCTTAGAGATATCGGGACTAATCTCCTGCCCCTTATCCTTCGGAACCAGGTATGATCTCATTATTTCTTTCATCTCTTTTCTTTCTTATTTACTAGATAGCCTGCCTTAGAGATATCGGGACTAATCTCCTGCCCCTTATCCTTCGGAACCAGCGCTTTCCGTTGATATTTGCAATTTCAGATTAGATCTCTTGGGTTCTAGAAACCCTTCGCTGTGTTCGCACAGTGTCCCGTCCGTAGTATCGAGTGAAGGTTCTCCCGAACCTTACACTATGTGGCTGATATTTTCTCTTCTAGGATATTTAGACGCACATCCGACGAGCTTCAGAAACCCGATTTTGAGCCAGAGACTTATGTTCCCATCACACATGACTGAAGGCATGCGGCAAGTGATTTCCCTCCTGCTGAGGAATGAACCCATCGAGCGCATCTCTTCTGAGGCCGAACTCAAAAACCTGCCCTTCTATTCGAATGTATGGCCTCCAAGGCCTTTGAACGATTTGTTTAAGTACTGAGGTTTAGAGTATAGTCCAACCTTACATGCTGCTTTACTTTAAAGCAAATACTACATCATATCTCTCACTGGGGTCATACAAGTTTCCTTTTTTATAGCTTATAAACTCAAATATACAATTTTGTTGGAAGTGTATATATATCTAAACACGGTCGCACACTTCAACTTTTTATTTATAACCATACATATATATATATACCATTGTGAACCACCGGTTACATAGTTCTCTCAGTCAAGTTTCAAGTTATTTAATCCTTGAGTTGTTTTATCCGCTGGAGGATTTGCGATAAGTGGAGGTAATGGGTCATCTTGAGGTCCCTCCTTTTCATATTTTCAATTTTCACTCTCAACAAGAAATACTAAGACTAGTATTTCTTGTTGAGTACTCATCAGTCTCCAAATACACATGGCTCCCTGGTATACCCGTAATAAGGTTAAGAATGCGGAAATGTTCTGAAGCGAATCACGCCAATGTGAGTATGGCGCTAAAGAAATAAATCGAAGAATGGGTCAATGCGGACAGGTCAGGTGGTTACTAGTGTTAGAAGAACTTTGTGACTTCAATAACCCGGGCAGGCTATTTTTTTATTTCAAATTAGGAACCAGCATCTTGCAAATCAGCTCGTCGGTATCACTTTCCGATGAGTCACTAGACCACCCTGTGACATCTTCATCTTTCTTGGCAAACCTACTCCAATCCGATACTTTGGACAAAGCCTTGTCCACATCTGGTTCTTTGTGTAAAGCCATTGCATTGGTGAAAGGGACCATATCTGATTTATTGACTGGATAATTTTTCTCTTGCGAACTGTCCTTTTTGCTATCTTGAACCGCATGAGAGGATGCTGATGCTTGCATACCCTGCGCTTCGGAAGGTACGTTGTTGGCGGAGCTCAATGCAACCTCAACGCAACCCTTGAAGTGTTCGTAGTCTTCCATGAACACTGTCAATAGTTTGATAAATTTGTCTCGGTCCTCCACCTTTGAAGTACAAATAGAATACGCGTCAGATCAATTGCGTTTAAGGGTATTTTTACGCTGAAAACTTCTAAAGAGATTTAGACATGAGATACCTTCTTCTCGGGCTTCGATTCCTTCGAATACGAACTGATTTCCTTTGCACTAGATCCAGATTCCAATGCTGTTCTTCTCCATACTGATAAGTCGGACTCCATTTTGGCCCCTGTGTCATCTTGACCTGACTGGGATCGGATGCAAGAGAACCTGGAAACTATCGAGTGGATATCCCCAGGTCGGAGAGTTTCTGAATGGAATAGTCTTTCACTCAAAAGAGACAGGGCCGCGAGACGTCTTTGAAATTGCTGTAGAGTATGTGACATCAAATGAAGCTCCCCCCCGGCAATACCCCCAGAACTGAGGGTTCGTTTCGTTTTTGAGCGTGTTTGATCTGGGGTAGGACATATGGTGTGAGAGGCGACGTAAATCTCATGTTTGGCGGAGACTAGAGTGAAGAATACATACGTGATATGTGATTCTCAAGGTTGATTTGGACTTGTTGGATCCCGTCATGTAGTACTTCTGACAGTTTGAGTGGAATCTGCATGTTGGCAATTACGATTGAGAAGATTTTCACTGGCTCTCGAACAATGTTTTGAAGGGAGAAGATGATTCTAATATCTGGATTTTGTTTGATTGGAAGTAATGGCGATGAACACTGGAGTCCTTCTTACTAATCGGAGTTTTATGTAGGTCGATTACCAGGAATTGGAGATGTCTTTCTTCTCTGAAGACATCTGCGTCACAAACGTGCTGACCTGAGTTGCTCATATGTACATAGTTCTTGTACTTGTGCCGTGCTTTCCTCAGGGGGCAAGTCAAAACCCAGCTGAACCCTGCACAAAATGGAACATTCGAAATGGCTCAAGTGAGTCTATGATAAGGATAAAGTCACTTTGGGATGAAGGCCTCAGTCGCTCATCTTGTCCTCCGAGTCACGGTGTTTGGACTGAGCCATATCTCAGTGCCAGTAGTTCAGCGTTGCGTTACAAGAACTATCAATGAAAGGGAATTGCTGATGAATGGTCATCTGCTCAGCATGCTCATCCCGAAGCAGACAACAAGGACCGACAGCACAGATCCGGTGTTCCTTCTGCTCAAAGGGTGGGTATTTAAAGTCTAGATCAGACAATCAGACAGCATCAATTAATTTTACTTTTTGACAAACCGAAGTTCAACATAAGCCTACCGACCATATCATGATCGCTCCTCGTTTTTCAGTACGTAGCGGACTCCTACGTCATCTGCTGCCCATATACTCTGCTTGGGTAGTCTTTGAAGCGTATCCCCCTGCCGTCCGCCTTTGTCAAACTATAACAATCTGGGTTGGCCTGGCACAAACTTCGGTCTATTCTTTCTGGTTTAATCATCTATCTCAAGCGACGGATTACATCCAAACCAAGATCTGCTCTCTCGCCAAAGAAGACATCATTCAACCTCTTGGCTTCCAGCCAAAACACGGATTTTGTGAACGACTATCCGGCGGTACGACTTGGTTGACATGGGCAATTCTAGGAGCATTCCTACTGCGCTATTTATGGCGACTTCCCCTGTGGTCCATGATCCAAAAAGAAGGCGGAGAGTTTTGGCATGCACTGGTCGACGAAGGTCTGTTTCTTCTTCTGACCAGCCTAACTCATAGACTGCGAGAATTGACATCCCATTCTTGCATGTACAACATGATCTACAGACTGACAGCCGAAAGATCTAAGCCTCTCATTCAAAATACCTCGACTTTCAAATTTCATGTCTTTACTTCATACTAAATATTAAAGATATGAAAGTTCATTGAATGTCCATCGTCTGTTTTGATGTTTTATTTTATCTTTTCATTTTTATCATATTATCTTGAAAAGTTATGTGAAAAGTTATGTTCATATCACTTATTCTTCCCACTCTAATAAACTTCGGATTCCCTGTTTTCGGACACCAAAATGAGTTTTCTGCAAATTGATGTTCGTAAAAATCTTAACAGATCTCAATCTATTGGTCTATTGCAACAATTATGGTCTGCAGTTATATCTATTCTGATGAAGATTTGAACCCCATATTTGAGATAGCTAAGAAGAACCTCCGAAATATGGAGGGGAATAATTCATACTGTAAGCATGCTATATACATTCGTTGTCCGCATTGCAAATGTCCTATATTTTCTCATTATAAAACTGCGCTTAAATCTTTAACACAATCGAGAGTGATTGACAAATGAACTTAGATGGGGTGCGCGTTGTGCATAGGATGTACAGATTTTGGAAGAAATGGCGTGTCAAAAAGTGACTTGGAAGGTAAAAGACATGAGACCATAGACACAGACATGAACATAATTAATAATCATCAAGACATATCAATAGTTAATAGAAATGAGGGAATAAACATAATGCACCAAATATAATAGATGAACAAGATGTAAAAGGCTGGTGATTGCATTTCTACATGATGTAGAGAGTAGCAAATAGATCTTACCCATACCATAGTAGACATTACACAATTTTCCAAGAAATTCCAGTCAAGTGCAATTCTATGCTACTTGGTTCAAAAAATTAAAAACAAAAGGCCAAATTGTTACCATAGGTGCTGAAGGGTGGAAGCAGGATATTGTATTCAGTAGGTAAAATGACTCACGATATTAAAACCCATACACCTTTCCATACTGACATATCACAAGATCTTTGAAGGTCTGGATGAGTTTGGACTTCCGCGCATCAAGAGGCAGCTCATAGCCTGGATTGAAATATAGGATAATATCTCGAAGCACTCGGCATGTGGTTGATCGAGCACGGAGGTTACAAGTCGGTGAAATATATTGGAGAAAGTCAGGTGGCAGCTTGAAGACTTTGTCCCAAAAGATCGGATCGTCCTCATGGGACGGAATTGCGAAGCAGCTGTAACACTTTGATCTTCGAGCTCTAAGGACTCTGTGATTTTGTACTTCAGGTGGGACGACGTCGCCAGCTCGGTGTCTTCGTGGTGCTCGGACAGGCTGAGGGGCTGGGCGTCTGCGAAGTACCCGAGCGGGCTGAGGGGCTGGGTGTCTGCGAAGTACCCGAACGGGCTGAGGGGCTGGGCGTCTGCGAAGTTCTCGAGCGGGCTGAGGGCGAGCTGGTTGAGGGAGTTGACGCCTTCGAAGTACTCGAACAGGGTCAGGGACAGCCAGCCGGGGGACTTGGGGTCTTCGGCGTACTCGGGCCGGCTGGAGCATTTGGTGTCTTCGAAGGATCTGAGCCGGCTGGTTTCCGGCTATTTGGTGGCTGATTCCAGAGAGTACAAGGTCTCCAAGGACATCTCCATTGATAGTCAGGCGCATAATGGCAATGATATAAAGGTCAGGGCTGGACCAAAAGTTAACTGTGAAAGATCGATGATAAATAAGACAAAAAAGGGATAGATTGTGGTCAGCCAGGGTAACTTAGAGCGGATCAGAAAGAAATATTGAAGGTTAATTGGATGTAATCTTACACCGAAGCAGCTAGCTAGATATGTCAAGATATGAACAAGAAGAGATTGGACCTGGATCAACAGGTAATAGTCAAAAATCTATAGCAAATAACATGACAAAGATGTAGATTGCAGTCAGCTAGTGTACCTCAGTGAAGGGAAACACAAATTGAGGGGTGGTTAGATATATAGCTAAACTGAAGTAACTACCTACGGGTGTAAGTATATGAACAAGAAGAAACCGGGTCTGGATCAACAGGTAACGGTGAAAAATCTACAACGAACAAGACAAAAAAAGACGTATGATGCGGTCAGCCAGGGGTCAGTAAAGGTCGAGAGGAAGCAAATATTGAAGCTAAGCTGAAGTAGCTACCTACGGATGTAAGTATATGAACAAGAAGAAACCGGGCTTGGATCAACAGTTACCGGCGAAAAATCTACAACAAACAAGATAAAAAAGAGAATATGTGGTGAGCCAGTGGTCCGTAAAGGTCGAGAGGAAGCAAAAATTGAAGCTACACTGAAGTAGCTACCTACGGATGTAAGTATATGAACAATCTACAACAAACAAGATAAAAAAGAGATATAATGCGGCCAGCCAGTGGTCCGCAAAGGTCGAGAGGAAGCAAAGATTGAAGGTAAATGGATGGATGGATGGTATCTCACACAGAAGAGCCATGTACATATATATGAGGTTTTTGAAGAAGACGAACGGATGACACGCGTCTAGCGTCATAGAGTGAGTTAGGCAGCGGAGAATTGTGTAATATGAGCGCCTTTCTAATTCGCATGAATGTGATTAAAACATCCTGAACCTCAAGCATATGTAGCAACAAAAGGGATCGCTCCTGAGATATGCTTTTGTCGATAGCTTTGGTGGTGTTTCACTTGCCGCGGGACAAGAGCCGACTCAGGCAAAAATCCTCTTTCCGCTCCAAACACAGATTGTAGTGGGTCATCAAAACAGATTATGACATCTTACAATGGGGAATCGCTTCAGACTCAGTGAGCTGGGATATGTAGGCGTAATGCACGGGTCAAAAGAAAAGTATATTCACTTTGAGATACACGGCAAGATCGAACCCATCCCTTTGGATCGATGATCGGATGAGATAAAAAAGTCAAGCGTGTCTCAAAGTTTATCGGAGGTTGACCGATACAAAGAGCAAACAAGCTCTTGTTCTTCTATACCACTCAGAGCGGATCTTTACATACCACAAAGGCTGTAAAATGAATGATTCAAACCCCTCTGAACTCGATGTCACGCTTGTCCTTTTACGCTACAAATTGTTCACTTTACATGTCTTTGTTCTTTCACAGGATTGCAGTCTGAGAGATTCCCAAAATGAGGATACATACATACAAGATCAAGTGAGTAAAGAGAAAGACCACATTGATTGATTCCAAAAATAGGTGTAGGAAAATGAATGTACCTCAGCAGAATAAAATCCAAGCTGAAGATGCAAGACCTGAAGAATATGATCATAGTTTGATCAGTTTCGTTCCCCGGGGATAAAAAAATGAAAGGAAGAACGTCCGCCATTCGACATATTTGAGAGGTCTTAAACTCTTAAAAGCAACTTTTGTAATCCCACAAAATCAGGAGTGTTTTGAAGCGTAAAATACAAGTTCAGAATCAGGGGGTGTCAAAATTATGTAAACAAAAATCCTCGATGGCGAAAATCTTTTTATGTGTTCGCATATTAAAAAGGGATTTCCACTGTGAAAAATTGATTAGGGGTTGTCAAGTCAAAATATTTATGACAAAACACCGTAAAAATGACGCCCGCTATAGCGTGAATTTAAGTAAATTTTACGAATAACGGGATGAACATAAAGGTGTCCCTTTTTCGTAAAACATAAATTTACTACTCAAACATCGCTTACACTTTCTGGCAAATTTAATTCATCTTTTACGGTCAAAACCACACAACAGATTCTCGCTTTAGCGTAAACCTACGTAAACATGGTTTTTACATCTTTTCAACGAAAACCATGCCCGGATTTTTTAAAAATTACGTAAAAGTTGATCAAACTTGAAAGAGCTTGAAACCCCCTGGTACTTACATTATTTTACGACGAATATGTAAAAACACTTCCGCTGTCATGTAAAATATTCGGCACAGTTTGACACCACCGTCTTATCTAGCTCTCATATCGAGCGTCAGCAATAGAGTCGTAAAAATTGCCTATGGCTATTGGCACTGAATTTGACACACAATAATCTACGCTCTCCTAGGGGCTGCAACTTGTCAAGCTCCCAATAGTTTTATGGTTTTTTATGGTACTAAAATATCATATTTTAGTTATTTTTCGTAAATTTGAGTACAACGGGACCAACATGCTCAATGAGCCCGATGCTCAACCCAAGCTTGTCACACGGTCCACGGATATTTTCTCTAGATTGTCAAAGCCACGAGGCGCTGAGCTGACTCAGTTGAGTCGTGTAACGTGACTCATACATACTCTAGTGTTACTATACACCTGACTATAGATCCCTGCGGACGATGAGCGCTCTCTTTTAAAATTCTTGTTTTTCTGTTTTATCTCATCGCAGCTTACCTTTCTTTGGTCCGACCTCATTGTTAAAAAAGGCTGCAATCAAGGCCTCAGGGCCTAATAGAGTACTGTCGAACTTACTTAACCCTGAGCCACTGATTCCTGTAGCGAAACAAAAGTTTTGGGTTCAATTGAATCTAGGTATGTAACTCAATACCCGCATGATGGAAAGAAACGTATCCGTAATGCGCCTGATGAGGAACCGAGCTCAGCCAGCACATAAGAGGCCGGAAGATCACCCTTTATCACATGGTGCACAGACCGTGACGCGCTCATGGTGTAAAGCCACTATTGGGAGGTGTCCGCGGGAAGTTTTCATTTCGAGCGTATCTCGTACTATGTATGTACTCCGCCCTATTCGAGCCACAGAAATTCAAGTTGGGATGCTGAAAATGTTTGTATGTGCTTTTTTCTCCGATAATATCTTGTCATATTCATATTTCTTCTGAAATTGTACTGTCTGAGTGCTTTTCCAAAATCTTTCCTTTGTGTTTGTTATTTTTTGCAGCAAGTCAGATGATGCAGATAGTTACCGTAAATTGGTTATTTGGTCTTATCATCTTCCATCTCAGATAGACCAGAAAGAAAACCAAACGTACTCGGCTTAAATGGTACGATGTCAAGATTTGGAAACACAGTTCGAGTGTAGGGTAACGGAGACAGACTATCTCAAGTATGAGGGGGGGAATCATAATGGTAATCTTGCTCGGCTTGACTTGGCCCGAACGCGTCATTAAAATCTGGTACTAGTTCACCCTTTATCCGAGACAACACTTGTGGGCTCTTTCTACAACGAATTGAGTTGTGACTGTGGGTGCTATTAAGGGGTGTCAAGCCAAAATAATCAGTGGTGATAATCATAAATTTATAGAAAATCCCCACTCGCAATTTAAATTCAGTGGTCTTTTTTTACGACCGTGGAAATTTTTTTGTTGTTTGTCGGAAATTTCTGTGTGGTTGTGTCGTATCCGCTTTTTTTTGTCGCAGAAGTCTTGACCTGATCCCCGTGATTCACGTAGAAAACCTCAATTGTGCAATATTTTTTGATCCGTCAACCTAACAAGCCTATTAATTTAACAACTTATTCCTCAATGATACTCAAAATAACCTTCGAGGTGGACCTCAGTGAGCTTAACTCGCAAGGCACAGCACCACTTTCCGCAACTTGTCACAAATCCCAATCTGCTCAACCAAACACATCCCCAAGTGGAGAGTCGCCTCTCATCCCCCAAAGCACGGATGACGCTGGTGAGTGATGCCTCTTTGCTCCAGTAACATAATGCTAGCGTATGCTGAATCCCAGAGTATTTAGCTCAAAGTGTCGTTGAGCACGACGGTACCGACCAAGAAAGGGGGATCGACGAAATAAACAACGCCAAGAAAGAAATTCATCCTGGGCAAGCAATCTTGGATTCCGAGGGGTTTTGGCGTCAGTTAGGTGGAAGTCAAATGCAAGAAAGCGTATCTGGTGCATGTTAGTCATGCTATCCAAGTGTTGTCTTCCAGGCACTCCACTGACCCCCTTTTCTCGCAGCGGACTCGCCTTTCATCGAGACCAAAGTCGACCCTAGATTCCCATTTCCTGGAATCCATCATACTCAAACCAATCAATATAATAAGCGCCAACCGATTCAAAACAAAGAAGCGGAAGGATCTAACAAGCGTCGACACCACTGATTCTTATTGCAATGGGAGTTCCTGGAAACAATTTAATTGTTGATGTATGGACTTGATGACTTCCTCAAGCTACTTCCTCTTGATAACATGGATTGTTTACACCTGATGATTGTATACTATCTGACAATGTAGTTCAAAGCAAGGTGGGACTTAGATCCCAAATGTAGGTATCATCATCTTTACCTACGTTCTCCTGCTCTCATATCCATCACCCATATTGACGTACAAATTGAGGCCACTTGATCAATTGGAATCATTGATCAGTCTTTTGTCATCTCAAAGCGTTGTGTTCCTATATGCAAATAAGATCATATCAATATATTGTATCAATCAGATCACAGGATTTTGTTTAAATCTAAGAAGAATTGAGATTCGGATGGGATACATTCAAAAAAATCAGATTAGGGAGGAGATTTTGAGTTTAGGAAGTAAGATAAGTGGTCTCATCATCTGACCGAGTTGACACTGCCAGCATTAAAGAGGTTCCCAGATGGGAATACGGGTCCTAGTGATCAGATTCCCATTCTGCTACTGTTACACAGTTCCATGAATATTTCCTGAGTAGCCGTTGTGATATATGTAGTCAATATTTTGAAATGTGTGTCTCAATCTGAACAAAGTTACAGCATGTATTACACATGATTTTCTTATCTAGATGAGCAGATAACTGAGCCGACCTGTATGTAGCTGATAGCTAAGATCATATCAATATATTGTATCAATCAGATCACAGGATTTTGTTTAAATCTAAGAAGAATTGAGATTCGTTCTCCATTCTTCTCTCAATGATATTCCCAGCCTAGGTCACGTTCCGACCAGGGAACCTATTTAATGCTGGCAGTGTGATCAGGCCATTGCGTAACCATGACCCTCGCTGAGCAATTTACGACTTTGAGGTTTCATGCCAGATTGCATGTCATGATAACAAAATTTGAACTCCTGGTGGTGTATGCTGAACCAGGCCTTGGAAGCCTGACCACGATCATAAGCCTAGGTGTGCATAGGTGAAATTTCAAAAACTACACACAAAAAGACATACTTAAGGTCATGAAACCTCATGAAACCCCGTGTCAATGCAGGTACGTAGCATTGTGTGTGTCCATCATCTCTCGGGATGTGGAGAGTCACCTCGGTAGAGCCCGAGGGTAAGTAAACCAGAGGATCCGGGGGTAGCCTGAGAAACTTCTGGGACACTGGGAATTCGGGACAAACGTCTCATCAACCGTGAGTATATGGGTCTGTGTGGGTCAGTCCGCTCTGACGTAAATACCAACCACGTACCAGAAAATGAATGACCTAAATAGTCTTGGACATGCGGTTTCCACGCGTCACCCGTGAAATCACAATCTAACATGAGTAGGTTGATCAGGAATTTGAATATGTTTAAAATCCATCCATTCGAATCTCGATTCATCAACGTCGTGACATCTAAGGTATTCTTCTTTCGAACCGACATATTATTGAATTTGAACTATTTGTTAGTAGTAGTTGTAGATCCTTTTTTCCAGGTCTTGATGGTAGTACTAGTAGTACGATTTTCTTTTGCTCGTCAATTTGATTTATGTATCGTAGCGGATTTGATTTGATTTTCAAACCTCGTGGACAAAGTCCATCCAACATGATCCAAAACCCGGAGAGATCTCGGTTCGATATCGTATCAAATGAGCGATCTAAAAGGTCACAAGACTGGGGTCAGGTACACTCGTTCATTGCTGATACTTGATTGACGATTTCAGACGCTAAGATAACTCGTTAGCCCCAGGTTAACAAGTAGCCTTCAATTACAAACTTTGCGCGTTCATGATTTGATTACAATTTGCGCCAATAATTTGTTATTCTCATTCATCTTCATCTGTTCTTTCTAATCGGCAACTTGGAAATACGTTGATTAGATGATTCTTCAACGACTCTTGAATGAACTTAAAGACGAATTCATGACCAGACCTATAGAGATAAGGTTCTGAACTAGATGAATCGTATTCCGTCAACACTGCAACCAGTAGCAACTTCTAGCCCTGACGCAAACCAGATGGATTATATAACAAGGAGCGGTTGAGGGTTAAGAGTCTTCTTTCCCTCACCCGCACATCATTTTACATTTGTCGTCCCAAGGATTTTGATCTCAAGAATATCTAACAAGGTCATTAACAATAACCTATTGACCTCTATTGACCTCATAACAATTGCTAGATCTTTCTTTTGATTCCAATTATCTTTTTGAAAACCATCCCTCCCACCCGTGAAATAGTAAAATCGTGATTCCAAAAATAAAATATCGAAGGATTACTATTTGAGACCAGTATGGTATAATAAATCTCAACCATAATTCTTGATTCATTACACGAATCATCTATTTTTGGTCATCCCTCTAGCATGTTCTTAAACCCATGAGCCAATTTTCTACGAGTTACATAAGGATTATCTTCATGTACTTGAGAGTACTGGAAACCTTAGGTGGTATTTGATCATCAGCCGTTTACCGCTGGTACAAAAATTTACAATAGACTTTGAGTCATCGGAATAGCTTCGATAACTTGGTAATTAAACTTGTGGTGGAATTGGTCCGTCCAATATATTTCAAGTTCTTTAATTTAAAAAGATTGAGAAATTCGGAAGGTCTTAAGCAAAACTCCAGCACTGGGCCTGGGGCGTAATAGCCGGGGCTACCTAGAGTTGATATTAGGCTATCGAACATACAAACTTAACTAAGTCATCCTAATATCCTCTCGAACATGTATGTACATATGTACACTCTAGATTGGAATTACGAAATCATAACATCTGCTACCTCACGAGGAACAACACTTGGAATACTTCACTCAACAGGACGACAGAAAAAGAAAGGATTACGACAGCAACAATCGAAACTTTTTTTGAACTGTTTATATCTAGGTCCGATTTCAGTCTCCTTTTCTATCAACTTGCAAACATACTCATCGCCAACCACGACGCCTTCAAAATATTTTCTCTAGCACAAGCTCTCGATTCCCATCTTCATAGTTTAATGATGCCTTCCAGTAGTTGTTTGTCATTCCATATAAAAGTGACTCCAAATCCGTAAAGAAAGTTCAGACAGCTGATTACTTTTCATCTTGGCTCCAAATTCGCTTACAGATCCCCCAATCGCTGCTGATTTCGATAGAGGCAACCGTTTACTAAATAAGGAAGGTAAATATCAAATCGAAGCCATTGCACTTCCCCTGGCTTCGCGTAATGGGCTATTTTTAGGTAGACCAATCATCACTAAGTAATAATTTTGTAAAAGTCACTGATCGTTTCTTCTAATCATTCGACGCTAGTTCTACTAGTCTTACCACCGAAGCGATAGTTACGGCCACCCTTTCCATGCTATCTCTGTTCGACAACTCTTTTGCTAACTCAGCAGGGTGTCGCAACTTCAGTGGTGGTGCGTCGGCAACACTTGATGCTTTCAATATCAGTTTATTCACTTTATCGTTCTTGGCAGGGAAGGGGAGCTTATGAAAGACGTGCCAGCAGCGGATTCCGGCAATATGTTTGGTGAGTGTATTCGTAGTCACTTTGTGATTTTCATGTAAGGTTTTCAGTTCTAATTCATTTTCTAAATCTGAATCACACTGTCTACCAGCTCATACAACAAAATCCCACGAACTTCCTGATCTAGCGGTAACAGTCGACTCCTTTTCAGTCCTATAGCTTCCCCGAATTCCCCAAGTTGCTCAGGTGCTTGGTCATCATTTTCCAACGTAGCCTTAGACCAAGCACCTGAAAACAAACCGATCTCAAAGGGTTTGTCTTCCAATCAGATCCAAAACGAGGGGAAACGAACAACAAGGCAACCGAAATGTCAGATTTAAGAGTTCTAACCTCATCAACAGATCTTACAGCATAATCCCGATGTTCTTTCTTATACCCATCAACATTTGATATATCTCACAACATCAAGAACTATGGGTCCATTTTCACTTACTTGATGCGGTGGGCTTAGTATCATTCATCTTGGTCTGACCATCAGCCGCACCCTCTATGTACAATCTACTGATACTCTCAGGACCAATTACCTGACGATGACCATATCCAATACTCCTACCATTTCACCTACCTCTGATAGAACTTCCTGAATGACTTCTACAACTCGTGTTGTTGTGATACGGTTGGATATTGTTGACATGTTGCTGTGGAATGTGATGTTGTCTAACATGATCTTCATGGGAAGGAATTCGACTCAAATTTCGATAGTAAGTCGCTCAATCGATGGGCCTGTTGTTTTGCATGGGTCCTCCGAACTGGTAAGAATCATCCGTATAATTTGAAATATGATCACCGTAATGATTCGCATCTCTCTCTGCTTGATCTGCTAAGCTGCTACTCCATGTCCCTACATCAGTCATACACTGCAGACATTATTCGGGTTCCCCAAGTGGGCAGGGAAAAATGATTGGGAGTATGATTTGTCATAAAATGGTCTATCACTCCACACCTGAGCCATAACACCCACACTACATATGTGTAGCAGGCTCAGTGAATATGTGGTTATCATGTACATACAGTTCTGCTCAGTTATCTGCTCATCAGGACAAGTTATTCATATGTAATACATGCTGTAACTTCTTTCAGATTGAAAAAAGCTTCCAAAAGATTGACTACATACACTGACTCAATGTTTTGGTGTGATCTCATCAACTCAACTGCATGTAACACACTTTCTGTTACTAAGACATAGCTTCAACAATATTGCCTGAGCAGCTACAGAATTATATGTAGTGAATTTTTGGGAAAAGAATTTCAAAGTCGAAAAAGTTACATGTGGTATAACATGTGATTTATTTATTCTGATGGGCAAAAAACTGAGCAGACCTGTATGTACATGATAGACAACTATTGACTTAGCTTGCTGCACATATGTAGTGTGGGTGAAATGGCCCAGGTGTGCAGTATTAGATTCTTTTATGAAAAACTGTACTATTAATCATTTTCCTCTGCCAAATTGGGGAAGTTGAATGATGTTTACAGTGATAGCACCACCTGGTCCCCGATTCTTTGAAATATTCCTCGCCGGGGCTTCTTTTCCGCAAGCATCAATCTGAATCTGTAAGACATTGCCTTAGTGAATTTGATAATCAGGTGAAATCTAATTGCCATTTTGCACAGCTCAAGCGCCATTCACTCAAGACTTGCAAGCCAATATAATAATGTTGTAGGTGCAACTTGTCGCTTTCACAGCTCTTGATCGCATATGATTTGAATCTTGTAGTAACCATCAGGGCAGGAGATAGATAATGGCATGTGTATGTTTTTATTCTTCATGATATCATCAAAGTACTTCAATAAGCTCGTCATATCATGTCCTGACTCATCACCTGTCATCATTTCTGTATTATTTATTCCAGTTTCTAACTATCGGTCAAACATTATCCGATATGGTCGGCATATCTTGTAAAGTCCCGTCAAAACCGGGGTCTCATAGATTAATGTGTCTCATCACAGTATTTTCATCTTTGCACCAAACTTTATATCCTTGGCATAAATAGTTATATCGCGTTGCGTTACTGTGTGAGAAGGCCTTTTTTTATGATTCAAGTCGATGTACAATGACCTGTAACGTCTTTGACCCTTCCTGTTTTTTAACCACAGAAACCCAAAAGGTAATTGCCACTTTTTTGAATTACATCTTCAGGACGCTTTCAAGGTTATCATGGACAAATATCAACTCTTCTTTTAAGCAAGACTTAAGGGCCACACTGTTTCTACAAAAAGGTTTCATAAAGGGCGCACTGGGTTTCAATTTGTGAAAAGGTAATACTGGGTTTATCGGCAGGATGTTCTCTCGAGGCCACACTGTAATTTTAGGTAGAAGTCTAGTCTATAGAGAGAAAACAAAAAGGGTTACAGGGGTAACGTTGGATCTTCTTTGTTCTCAGCAATGAACACTATTTATGCGGGGGGATGAAATAAACTGAAATAACGAGAAGAAAAATGTTCTCATCACTAACCTACAGCGGGTGGTGATACCACTCGCATTATTCGTATCATCACTCAACGTTCCATTCTCATTCTCAGCTATGGTGCGTCCTTTTGGTTGATCTTTTCTTGTGGGGTCGGATGTTCCTGGAGAGAGCGCTCGTAGATCTAATTCTCTGCCCCCGAAACTTTCTGGATAATCTTGCCTTTACAATTTCAAATCAATTACATAGATCTTTGTTGTTCTAGTATGATGAACTTTTATTTATTTATGCTTGGTTTGAACAAGCTTTTAAACAATCAAGATTGACCAAGGAATTCCAAAGCAATTTGTGCTTTCTTTTGCCAGCATCCAGATTTGAGATTCGAGATTTTTGACTTTGCCCAAATTTCGAGCTCTGGTTAAGAAAAAGGCGAGTATACTATATATAGTATATAGAGGAGGAAATATCCTCTTGGTACTTACGGAATTACGAGTAAAAATCAGATAGGTGACTGGGCTGAAACTTGTTTAAAATTAACACGGCCTTGATCAACAATACGGGGTGGCAAGCGGTACAATACAAATGTAAAAAATGGAAAATAACAACAATATCTTATCACTAATGATGTAATGTAGAAAGGAAACAATACCTTGACACTAAAGGTGCACAAATAAATTTCTTGATAATTATGTTACATCTTTTGTTGAACAGTTGATTTCTTAACATTTCCTTATTTTTATTATACCTATTGCTTATTTCATACCCAATGAAATAAGTACTACATATATACTAGGGGGGAGAGGGAGCGCTTCAAAATTTGTTAGCAATATCTAAGATTGTTGATACTGAATGGAGAGTATCGGGAGGAATAGAAAAAAGTCAATAAGAAATATGATGACGATTGAAAACGGTCATCATGACGAGGCTGGTCTCACAGTGCCCGTGTGGGCTGCCCCGGCCCAACACCGCCCCCGACGTCCAGGGCGTCCTCCACGGACACAGTTCTGGGCCCTGCGCCTGTCCAAATCAATCAGATGTATCTTCCATCAGCCAAAGCGAATTCATATCTCCTATTTTTTCGATGTTCCTCATACACCATAATCCAATTAATCCTACTCGATCATCAGAAACCTGGACGGCGTTTTCTTTTTTCTTTGGAATCAAGCAATGTAATTTGGGCACCAGGTTCATTCATCAGAGTATATTCTAGGTTCAATCCAGTTCCGGCGTTCTGATTAAGTCCCGAAGAGCTATACATAGCTATATACCAACAATGTGTTTACATCATCAAATCAAAGTAAAATGGAGATGCAGGAGATATATATTTCCAAAAATATGTGGCGAGCATGGAGTCAATTGATATGAACCTGAACATCTGTTTGATTCTAGGGCTGATTGATCGACTCAGTCGACGGTGATCATAGTCTCAAGGTTGGCTTGGGTTGAGATGATTGATGTATGATCACTTCAGAGTCAAGGTCATCAATTGCTGATCCCGCTTGATCCGGTCATTGATTGAAAATCCTGAGGTCCATCACTACCCAACGCCTTTGAGATCGAGGGCTCAACATCCTTGAAGTACCGTTTCCTTTCATGTACTCCTTTGCTCTTTCCTCCTTAAGATTCCTCATGAAACTGAGATATGTTCAGTCCACGCTCACATCATGAGCCAGCGCTTCTGATAAGTCTGAGAAGTCTGAGCTCATACCTGGACCAGAAACTATGCCTGCAGACTTTAATCATCGTATATAAGGTGCTGATCTCCGTATGTTCCAGTTGCTTTTGTGCTGTATTGAATCGTGTTATCATAAATATTTGTCGTTATATTCTTCTATCACCCTTAACTAATCATCCCCGTCACCTAGTTTCATCGGCGGCAAAAGCATCTGCCATCACAACCTGCTTCCTTTCCTATACTTAATCCTCAATCCTCAGCGCAATATCAAATTCTCTTGACCAACTCGTTTGATCCTTTCAGTTTCTCTCAGCCCAAAATGACACCGCCAACGGAAATCAGGTGTCGCTGTGTTGATTGTCTGGAATCTACGACAGATCAGGAGCGTCCCGGGCGCGTATGGAAACGCAAGTCCCAAACTTTCAAAGCTCATCAGGCTCTAGTCAAGGCAAACCGCTCTGTTCTGACTGGTCCCAAAAAGAGCAATGCATCGCCTTCGTTATATCAGTCAAAGAATGTAAAGACTAGCTTAATAGTTGATAGCGCAAACATCTTCGGAAACTCGCTTGATCAGCAAGCCTCGAATCACGATCCCGGCACACACAAAGGTGGGTTACCTAATTATGATTTAGCAGTGCCCGCGCTTCTATGGCTCTACAAGCTGATCATACCGTTGGTGCTCTGGATCGCATTGTCGTAGAGAATCTACAGCCGTCTTTGACCCACCTTGCACCAGTCGAAAAGACCATGTCACATCTCGATATATCGCACTTGAAAAAAACGGCCAATCCACCGCGTCGACAAGAAACCGGTAGCCATTTTCAGCAAAAATGGGATGGAATGACTGTAGAGTCAGGTAAGTGCTATACCAAATTCATCTGCTTTATGATCTGCTTTTTGATTCGAGTTTTCTTGCGGGGGATGCAGGTCAATACGGTAGGCATTACTATGATCAGTTTAAGAAATTCGACTCAAAGACCTCGGCAATGAACCTTGTCATGGTATGTCTGTACCTGTTTGAACACATTGGGATGGCGGTCGCTACACTTTGTCTTCACGTCAACAATTCGGTACGGGGTACTGGCGATCGTACCACTGGTAGTTCCCAAAAGGGTTGGTCACCAATGGATATTCGGACTGTTCTCACAGATCTAAGAATTCAACCAAAGATCCAGCGAACTCTGTGCTGTCCAAAGTGCTTTCGACTTTACTACGAAGGTGATACACCCGATATATGCGATTGGCGCGAAACTCGCTCGAGTCACAAGTGCAATGAACGTCTTTTTAAACAAACAAAGACGGGTGAAGATGAAGAAAACCGGAGAGCAAATAGATACTTCTCAACCGTTGCTTTCACAGAATGGCTAGCTCGTTTCTTGAACCGCCCTGAAATTGAAGAGCACCTCGAATCTAGTAAACAAGCACTGGGAGATGGCTCGGCGATGTATGATGTTTGGCATGGATATATGTGGCGCTCGGCTCGAGGGATCGATGGTGATCAATTTACGAATTCGCCTGGAAATCTCGTATTCTCGCTGAATGTCGACTGGTTCAATCCACTGGGCAACAAAGCAGCAGGCAAGCAAGACTCTGTCGGCACTGTTGCTTTAGTATGTCTCAATCTTCCGCCACATATACGTACCTCTCCTGAAAACATCTTTCTTTCTGGATTGATTCCCGGACCTTCCGAACCCAAGATGACTCAAATCAACAATGTACTCAAGCCTCTTGTTGATGAACTGAATGATTTATGGAAAGGGGTCAAGTTTTCTTCCACCGCAAAGTACCCAACACAAGGTCGCATCATTCGAGTCATGTTGGGGCCGATTATTTGTGATCTTCCGGCGATGCGAAAGGTTTTAGGAATGGCAGGACACAGCTCCAAAAAGAACCTCTGCTCATTATGTCGAATTGGAGAACATAACATACATTTACTTGAAATTCCTCACGCCCTTTGTCGATGTAAACACGAACTAAAATCGCAGGCATTGGCGTGGAAAAATGCGAAGACCGTCAAGGAACGGCAACGTCTTTTCAAGGAAAATGGAGTCCGTTACACCATTTTATGGGAGCTGCCTTACTTCGACCCAACCATACATACCGTAGTAGAGCCCATGCATAATATATTCCTTGGTTTACTTCGCCATCACGGACTCAGTGCCTTGGGATTGATGTCAAAGAAGAAATTGAAATCTTCACCACAGACAGCCGGCAAAGCACAAGAGGACGATTCTGATCCAATGGAGGAGGGACTTGAAGATTTCGATTCCGATGATGGAGATTCTGACCCTGAAGATCCTGAGCTTCAAGGATCAGAATACGTTGGTGATCAGGTTGTGAATCAATCACCCTCTGCATGTGGCGATGCCACATCTCCCCCAGAAGATGATCTATCGCTTGCATTTGGAAGCATGGCACTGGATTATGACAACGGACTTGATGCTGAGCAAGAAGATCGCGACAATCAATCCGAACCAGATGCTTTCATGGGATTTTCAGACGAAGTGACAGGATGCGAAGAGGAAGAAGAGGAACTATCTGACTATGAAGAGGTCGATGAAAAATACAATCATATTTTTAATGAAAAGAAACACCTCAATATACTAAGGGAAGTTATAGGACAGGTCCATCTCCCATCTTGGATTGGTAGAGTACCAAAGACGGTAGGATCAAGCAAAGGTGGTAAATTGAAAGCAGATGAATGGGTTATATTATATGAGGTTATGATAATACCCGCCTTCATACTTTTCTTCCATAGACAAGGTCATCTTTCACGGATCACAGACCATGATATAGTTCGAAACGCCCTTCATCTGATCAGTATTCTCAAACTCGTGCGAAGATTTGAACTGGAAGATAGGGATTTGGAGGCTTTGAAATACCATGTAAAAAGCTATCGACACGGACTCGCTGGACTGTTCACTTCACTCTCAGTTACTCCAAATTTGCACATGTTACTTCACATTCCTCAGGTGGTCAAGATTTTTGGCCCTGCTCCTTACTGGACTGCATGGTCGTTTGAAGCAACAAATGGATCTTTGGCCAGAATTCCAACTAACAATCATGACAGTACGTTCAGAGTTTTGATGCCTTATTCATGTGAAAATGGTACAATAAACTGACTGATCAATTTTCCGGCAGGCTCTAGGGAGTTTACAATTCTAAATAAGTGGACAACTGGTCAGAATATGCGCTGTGTGCTTCCGGACTTATGCAAACAGCTACCAAAAAAAACCGCAGCAAGTCTCTCAAAGTTTGTGTCACCAAAGTGTACTGATGGAAGTGCTTCGGCCTACCTTCGAGAAGGAAGCGGTGGCCCACCAAGCCTCAAATATAATCCGAAAAAGAATGAAACTCTAGATTATGATTCCCATCTCCTTCTTCTTGGTCGAATGAAAGAAATATATGGTAACAAGTGTGTGCTTTCCACTGACATCTACAAGAAATCGCGGTACGATGAAGATAGTATTCCTATATCTAGATTTGTAAATCAAATGGCATCAGTAAAATGTCACAATGTAGTGTATTCAACTAGAAAAAGAAATCCAGGAAACAGCATAGTTCTCTATTCCATACATCTTTCCAAACACAAAAAAGGTTTTGCGTGGGGGAAAATCAATGAGATATTCATGACAATGGTGCGCCGGGATGGAAATATAGACCAGGATATTTGGATTGACATCTCTCGATATGCTACTTTATCAGCAGCTCACCAGAAAAGGCATGGGTTCACTGACTGGCCTCACTCTGGATTCAGTGTGGTGTACGATAGGGAGAAAAAGAAAGATGTGATACGATTGGACGAGATTGTTAGTCATGGTGCTTCTTGGGAAAATCCGGAAGGCTGCTTTGGAATCAAAGAGCCTACATTGCTGATTGTAAATTTATCAAAGACCTTGTGCACTGCAACTTGAGTATGATTTTTTATCGTAGTTTCAGGTGGTAATGAAAGGTTTGCCATCTCGATTGAGTGTTTTGATGTTTTATTGTATCTGTCTACCTTGCTATCTTGTATTACAAAAGTTAAACCAAAAACACATCAATTTATTTTGTATCTGTTTTTCAAAATGGAGTCATCAGAATACGAAACCACTAGAGATGATAATAGAACTCTCAAAGCCCTCAAATATGGGAGATGAGAAATATCTTTACTCCAAACAATCAATGAAATCCAATTACAGTGATGATAGAGTTTTTTTATCAGCTTTTGAAGCCATTGGATCCCCAGTGAGCTGCGAATTAGAAGTAAAAGCCCAATTTAACAAGGGATTATAAATCTTATGCATTTTTTCTTTAAGTAGGGCCACCGTCTCTTGAGCCAACTGTCTTCAACCAGGACAATTCACCCAACCATTCAACCTATTCCCTAACCACAATTGACTTTGCCCAATATGTCAGTTTGTCAAATCTCATATTCCCAAGTTATACGCGGTCCTGGTGCAACTACTTGGACCACTATATCAAGAAGGCCTGATATTGCTCCCACCTCTTTTTTAGGCCTATTGGTTGCTCACTTTATAGTGAGTTCGTGCTTTGCACAGCTCCGTTTGTGAAGGTACTTGTTGTCAACTTCATCTGTGTTGAAAATGAAGAAACCCAGGGACAACCACGTTCCATCACAGGCAGATGATTCTTTTTCAAAATTCTACAGGCGCGCAGTTTAATTCCATTGTGTTGATTCCTCATGAAGACCGGGCTCAAATTGATGTTTCTCAAGGTGATTTACGTAAGGAGACTTTATGTTTTTACTCCAAACATAGTCTCTCATAATCTTATGCAGCTTGCAATCTCAAATTTTCGGGAAGATATCAAAAGGAGAATTGAGCTTAGTAAGTGCAAACTTGGCATGATTCTGTTGGAATGGATAGCTAAATTTTCTTTTTGTTAGCTTTTCCGCAATATGACAGGCCCATGACACTTCGAGGTTGATATCACAACAATGAAACGCCCGCTGTGTATCACTTCCAGGCGTACATTCTCCAAAAAGTGGTGACGGTTGGAGTTGACGAAAGGAAGAAAGACGATATGCTGTGTGGTGAGTCCCGACGAGAAGGCTAATAAAGACCAGTTGTTTATACAATTTAGGCGGATAGCGTAAAGCGCAGAGACAAGCAAGGAAAGGCATGAATTGAATGAAAAACGCGCCATATGGTTGTATTCTACAACAATAAGAAAAAAGGGATACGTGAGATCAATTTCGCTTTTGACTGTTAGCAAAAGCTAACAATAGCTTTTGATTTTGAACAAAAACTTCAAGAGCATCAAAGTGGGTGTCGTAAATTACTATTCATTAGCCTTCCACTTTAGTTGGTTAAAATCAAGTGGGAATTGCCTTTAATGGATGCGAAGTCATGAAAATGGCGGGAGGCAGTGAAAGTCCATTGAAGCCGCCATGCAATTGACAATGCAATTGACAATGCAATTGACATCTGACCACGAGCACGAACCGATAAAACACAGATATGTATATGGAATCGAAGATAGATAAATATGGAAAGCAATAGAGATGTTGGCTAACTCGGGTAGGGTGTCCGGGGTCAAATAAGCAGGAATGTGTTAAAATCTTTGACCATTTCATCTTATTTTTTATGAATTGGGCAAATGTTTTACACGCCAAGAAAATACAAGTTTGCCCAATTACATAAGCGTAAAACGTAAAACATCTTACGTTTTTGTCGTAAAAATCGACTTCCACTGGAAAAAAACGTTACTGAGTTTGAATCGTAAGCGGTGTTTGAGTAGTGAATTTATGTTTTACGACAAAGGGACAGCTTTATGTTCATCACGTTATTCGTAAAATTTACTTAAATTCACGCTAAAGCGGAAATCTTTTTTACGGTGTTTTGTTGTGGATAATTTGTCTTGACAACCCCTATCATCACCCCTTCATTCTATGCATTATAACTCGTAGAGTTTGAGCCGGTTTGAATAAGCATGACCTCTGGTAGTTCTGGACCGCAAGTCGCGAAAGAATGATGCTCAGCAAATTTACTGTGCTGTTGATTTGTTTTATTTGTCTCACTCATGTCTCGTCGTAAAAAACCTTTTCTCTTCACAATTGGAGAATCATAATGTTACAATTCATAATTGATTGCTTGCAAACAGCAAGAGGCAAAACAGATAGTATCCCAAGAACATCTATGAATGGAGATTGGTCACGTCCTCACATGCATCAGCTATATAAATTTGAAAATGGTTTTATCTGCCCAACTCTAGTCACTGTCAGCCAGTGTCCTTTTGCTCATCACCTAATACATATGAAAAGTGTTCCTTTGGTCAATATCAATCGGTGATATCAATGTGCAATGGCATGTGACATACAACCCTGGAAGGAATCTTTGAATTACATATGAAAAAATCCTTCTCATCTTAGAGATCTACAAAAATCTACGTAATTTTGACTCAGAGCGCAAGTCAAAGGGGAACAAATTTTTTAGTATCACCAGAATACGCGACTTGTCTTTCTGAACCAATTCGTCCCTTACCGCCTGGGAAATCACTGTCATAACACCCCGATTCAAGTCCAATAATGTCTGCTCCGCCTGAACAAACTTCTGTGTTCATTCCGATCCACCTTCTCGAATACCTAGTTGTGGATACCTCTACAAACAAGATCGAAACCGCCTTTATACTTGAAAAAGCAACCTCTGACGAGCTTCATGAGTTCATTCAAGCATTCAAACCAAATCTCAAAATTATGGCCCCAGAAAGAGACAATCCCAAATTCTTGAAGAAAGTCTTCATCGAAATGGTGGCACCTGTTCTCAACAACTTACTTCCCTCCGAACTGACGACGAAGCACTACATTCAAGCTCCATTGCGTCATCCTATTTCAGGAGTCCAAGAGTCTCCGATCAGATTAACCTATCAAGACGAGATCAATTCCGAACGTGCCACCGAGTTTAACATCCGGGTTCTACAATATCTTAGGTCCGGGCAATATTATGTTGCGGAAGAGCACCTCTTGACTTTTATCAAACAATACAATTTCCTCAACGAGAACGAGATTTCTGAAATCCAATTCGCAAAAGATAAGACTCGAGCTCTAATTCAAGAACAGGTGACCAATCTGCGAACAGCCTATCAAAAAATGGAGTCGACTAAGATGCAGTTGCGACAAGAGGTTTGCAGTCAGTTTCACACAGTTCTCAGAAACAGGAAGGCGGCTTCCGAGGCCACCGTTGAGCATCACCTGGACATCCTGAACCAAGTGGTGAAAGGCATCGGATTTTTGGACGCATTGGAAGAGTATCATAAGTGAGCCAGTATTCCTGTGTTCTAACTGATATTTGGTTTTCCAATGATCATTTTCTGACTCTTGTGGGCATTTGTCTTTGGTTCCGCACATCCAGGAGCTTGAATGGAGTACACAATCCCATTAGTCCACCATCTCCGAAATCAATGAATCACACTTCTCACTTCACTACGCCAACAAACCGCTCTCCTCAACTGATGGCTTCAGAGGCTCCTTGTGATCAGCCAATTTAGCACGTGACTTTTCGGCATCAATTTAGCATGTGAGTTTCCGCTATGATTCATATATATTGCTTGCTTCGCCCAGCTGATAGTAAATTCTCGGACTGAATTTTTACCAAAATCTGCCTAGTGAATGTTGAAGGGGTACTGGTTGTGGTTTTGAGAGGACTTTATATTTCAACCAGTAGTTTCCTTGAGCCTTGCAGTGGTTTTGTATTCCTCTGCACGGGACAATGAATAGTAACCCGTGCAAAATTCATATAGAGAGATCAGTCTGTCAAATCATAGAATTCAAACCGCCTCAACGAAGAGAGTGATGTGAAATCATGGACAGGCTTCAGCAGAGTTGCACAGTTCAATGAAGAGATGATGAAATGGAAAATGAGCTAGAAAATATTGGCTCAAGCCAAGATGTACTCTCTTGACTAATGGTCAGATGACTCTTTACCTCAACTCTTACTATTCATAGCCATCTCCTCTCTTTCGGGTCAAAAATTATCTGAGTTCTGTGACATACATATGCAGTATCATTTGTAACAATTGAATTTGATAGGAACAAATACGAGGGCTTGAGTCAAGATCTTTTACGTTTTGGGTTGTGTGAGGTTTGATGAGGTATCACACGGTTTTTACGAGTTCTAACTAAGACTTGTGGAAAGTGGAGGAAAAGGGCGTATGTTGTGTGTAAATCGAGTTTTCTATAGTGTTCTTAGATGTTCCCAGAATCCGCAGTCCAAATGCACAAATTGATCTACATAAACCCTTTGAAGGAATATAAAAGTTGAAGTTTTATTTTATCCCCTACAAAATGACGGTTTTTTTACCCGAAAGATTTGCTGCGGGGATAATCCGTACATATCAAGTTTTATGTTGTTTAAGCACGGTCCAAATCATTCAACCTTCAGTTAGCGTTAAATTCTGGAGAGGTTCCCCCTTTTCCTGTGACGGTCCATCCATTGAATTTCTCTCATGTTTAGACCATACCAATCGACTACATCTTCATCTATTCACAAACACCGATCCTAATGTACAACAGGCATGTCAAGACTGGATTATCTAAAGTAGCCGATTCCCAGACGGGTGAGATGAGTTTGAAAGAAAAGCCAGGCTTTGAAGAGAGCAACCCTCAACGCATCCGAATCTGTGAGTTCTTTACACTGGGCTCCGAGGAAAATAGTACAACCGTTTGCCAACACGCTTACCTTTCTGTTCCACATTTCAGCTCGCGGACTCTCATTGCAGAGATCTCAACCCACAAATGCTCAAGGTTCTTTATCCGATGGTGAGAGCATGCATGTCTCAATCCTCAAGAAGAGGTCTATGTTGACTTGGTCTTGCAGTCCCAACAGTCAATGCCTACCTGCACAGAAACTGTCACCAATGTCAAAACCGTCGGAACCACAACGGCGCATCCTCACGAGCTTGTGCATGTCACCCGAAAAGAGAAGAGTCTAGCTGTAAGTTGACGTGTCTCATGATGTTTTTATTGCAAATGTTGAATGTTCAAAATTCTTTTTGCCACATCTAGGTAATCTCAGAGTTTCTACCTTAGTCTCCGGTACTTTGGCTGTTTTTGTGGTAATGGCTCTATTGGTCATTTGGACTTGCGAAAGATTCCCCGAAACCAGAATCTCACCGATATGCGACCTTTCAAACTGGCACTCGCGCATTCCGGCGGTCTGGGAAGGGGCATGTGTTGTTTGCCGCGAGAAATTTGAAGATTGGTTTCAGATGATTGCACCAGGTAACTTCTGCGTGTCCTTATTCCAAACCATTATAGTAGCTTTATATGTGATGATTTACTTCATTTGAGTGAGGGTTCACCTTTCAGGTGCTTAGGGTTGCAGATATTTTGCGTGGTTTGACTTATGACTATGTATCAGCGGTGAAAACATATCTGATGTAGACATATATCAAAGAAAAACATGCGTCAGAAACTCGGATGTATACATAGAGGTTGGACTTGACTCTTTTCTTTCGCGCACTCAAGACTTTTTGCTCAGGCCTGCTATAAATAATCGCATATGTTACTGGGTGCTTTATCCCAGGCCAGGTGCGGTCTTTTGATCAGGAACACGTTAAGAAATATAAGGTAGTATGCCTCACAAGAGGCACAGCTGTGGTAGCTATGGTGTACGCAAAGCGGTGGATCCAGCGCAAGCCAATTGCTACGCGAGAAATCTAAACAAGAGTTCAGACTCCAGAGCGGAAAGAGATAAGAGAATAACGAAAATAACAAAACATCAGCCACTCGGGGTAGGTCTGAGGCCAGAAGACTCGCGAAACATAAAAACACTTCCTAACAACAGACAAGAAAACCAAAATCAAATCAAAATAAACTTAAGAAGGATAAAATATAAGACATAATATATAACATAAATGAAGGACATTATAAATAGACGTAGACAAAGCTTTACAGAAAATAAGAACATCATTTTAGCAAAGGAAACTAGTGGGAATATCAGAATGATTGTGTCACCTCTTGAGACCGGCGACAGAACCCCCTTTGGACAGGTACATAACTAGATCATATCAATATAAATACCTGTTTGCTCGAATTCGCGTGAAGTGGTAAGCTTATGGAAAGCAAATAATACTGTTATACCAACAAGTAAAATAAGCAGCGAACTTATGAAAATTGAAGATTTAACTACGGTGGACCACCCAGTGGACATCAGCTAGGTTCGCACTCATCGATCCACAGGTTCTGGAATAGCTCACCAGGGGTTTTCTCTTCGTTTTCATTGCTTTTGGGCAGACAAGACTGGATAGTTTTACAAGCTGTACTCACGTGGTCCGGATGAAGTGGGTTTATACATATAAGATTTGAGTTTCTCAGAGTGGAGATAACTCGAGCGAGTGATCAGACTAAAAAATTGTCTACGCACCATCGGGCGTTCCTAATTCATGCATTTCCTCACAGCCTGGCATCGAGGTTTGATGTTCACTAGCATTGAGATCATGAAAAGACTTGGTGTTTGTAGGGCACTTCAGCTGTAATCTATCATCTAGAATGGGAATCAAAACTTGGGTTTTGGAAGCAGTCATAGAGAACATATGAGAATTACTGACCACCAATGTGTTTCGACTGAAATGCTGCCTCTACATCTTGGATTTTTTGAAGGATATCTTGTATGAGGAACGTTTCACTTGAGGGGCTGGATTTATTCATGATAGCTAATAAGATATTTGTGAAGCAAGACTGATATAAGGTGAATTTTTGTGGGTAAGTTTGGAAAGGCACGGAGGGCACAGGTTCTTCGTCAACGTGAGTTGTGGTTAGCCAAGCTTAGGTGCACCCCCTTGACCACCTAAGCATTCAGAGTCGCCAGACATTCTGTTACCCTTACAAATTCTGGTATTATTTTCCTTTTAAGTTGCAAAAGGGTGATATTGAGTTAAGATACAAAGGGCTTTCTGCACAGCTGTCACGTGTCTCGTGACTGGATTTACGACACCTTTGAAGCCATCCCGGGGTCCCAGCGTAATCGACGGCCTTTGTTACATCATTGACAATTATACCCCTTCATCTTCAACTCGGATCTAACAAAATATCATAGTATTAATCTCTCTTATAATTTCTCCAGTGATATCATCTAGTTCGACGAGCACTTCCCGACTCTCAAATCTTGAATTCAGTATGGCAAGCTCAAATAGTGCGATGCAGCCTGATCCACTACATGTCTTGAACGATCTCAAGGTGATTGAATCCACTAGCTTGAGGCTGATGCACTTGTGCCTATCTGACAAATATGCTTTATAGGTTATGATTCAGGCGATTCAAAACGCCCATGAGGCGAGTACAGCGGGGCTCAGACAAAGTATCAATGACTTGGAGGTAAGCAAGTTGTATCTCTTTCGGGGCTTGATTGATGAACTCAACAAATACCGTAACACGTATTGTATTACTAGGCCAAATTCGAGATGTCATATATGCAACACAAAGCCCAACTTGAATCATTGGTTCGTCCCCATGGAAAATCCACTCTTTCAGCTTTTTCTTCTAGTTATTTATGCAAAGCCGATGTTTTTTCTAGCCCGACAGAACACAAGTCACAGTTAGTAACACTTCAGCATTCTGCACTTTTGAGCTCCCATGGATTTGAAATTTGCAACCTCACTTCTGGTACAGGATCTTCGTACCTTGTTGAGCTCGCACGAGCAGAAGTTTTCCGAGATATTGAAAAATCCCATCGCGTTGCGGGAGCAGACTAACAATACTGGAATGATTGTGTGTATTTGTGAAGTCTATAATGCCATATCACATCCTTTTGACATCAAACCGATTTTTTGTGGGTATTGACTTGGCAGGACTTAAAACCGGAAAACCGACTTGACTCACTCACAAATCTTGAAAGCCAGTTGGTCAGCGTGAAAGAAAGTGTTTCTAAGCTGTGTAATGACGTTGAAGTGGCAACCTCGCAGATTAACGAGCAGGACTTGGTGAGTCTTTGACTGACATTCTTGGAGCAACTAAGAGCTGCCGAAGTGATACCTAAAGTTGGTTTGTGCTGTGCAAAACAGACCCTAAACATGTTAGATGCCAGGTTTGACGCGATGGATTACAAGGTGGATGCGCGCAAATCAGTAAGTCATCAAATTTCATTTTCAAAAATCTATGACCCTTCTAACGAAAACACATCCATCTTATCAGGCCGAGTTAGCCATGCAAGGCGAGTTGCAACGCATGGATCGCTACAACCGGCAGCTGAACGATGACCATGTACGACTAAACAAAGAGCTCGGATTGTTTCAGTCCAACGTCGAGAATGCACGCCTCCACTGCTCTGAAGAACACAAAAAGTCTACGCAAGGCGAATTGGAACGCTTGGATTCCTACAACCGGCAGTTGAGAGATGAACAGGTGCGACTAAGCAACGAGCTCCATTCGATGCAGTCTAAGGTCGAGAATGCACACCTCCACTGCTTGGAAGAGCTCAAAAAGTCGGAGTATGTTTTGCAAGCGCAAATCGAGTCCAATAGAAACGTTGGTTTTTTCAACTCTATCCACGCTGCTATGCAATCGGTCCTTATTTATATAGTGATAGCCAACTTATCCATCGGTATCCATTTTGTTGAGATCAGGCAACAATTCTTACCGAGAGAACATGTCTCAAACAAATCGATGTCAGTAATTAACTCCTCCTGATTTTGAAAGTACAGAGTTAACCAGTTATTTCGGGAACAGGAATGCATTATATCAAACAAAGGTCTTGCGAAAAAAATCGATATGCATAAATCAACTCTAACACACGTGGAGGAAAAGGTGAAACTCAATGAAGATAGCTTTTGCCAGAAGCTGCAGTTTTCAGAAAAGCGAGTAGACTGTCTTGAGAATGAAAGACTATCCCTCATAGAGAGTATAAAGAAACTTGAACTTGAAAGTCGCGTCAAAGCATCTGCGACCTTGAAACCTCAAGTAGCTCTCAATCAGAACATAGCACGACTGACTGCTCCATCATTAAATACCAGTCGGACGTGGAGGTATACCTCTGTTTGCTCTCATGACAATGGATTCGCCGGTGTACTGACTATCTCACCCAATGCAGAGCGTGATCCTGACACAGTCAACCTTATCAAAGACGCTGGAGGTTTGTCACGATGACGCTACTTCTCTATTCTTTGCAAAGTACAACTAATGTGGTACATAATTTCTGCAGGCGATTGTAAAAACACAGAAAGAATTTGAAAACAGGTTGCAACTTGGCCAAGAACGATTGGACCAAGAGTGCTCCATCGTTAAATACCAGTCGGACGTGGAGGTATACCTCTGTTTGCTCTCATGACGATGGATTCGCCGGTGTACTGACTATCTCACCCAATGCAGAGCGTGATCCTGACACAGTCAACCTTCTCAAAGACGTTGGAGGTTTGTCTTGGTGATACTACTTCTTGATTCTTTGCAAAATACAATTAATGTGGTTGTTCCATTTCTACAGGCGATTTTAAAAACACAGCAAGAACTTGAAAATAGGTTGCAACTCGGCCAAGAACGATTGGCCCAATCACATCAACAGATGACACACCAGCAGAAAACATTCGATACAAGAATTATAAGTTTGGAGAAGTTTTACAACATCAGTGTGGGTAAAAGATTACGCATAAGACATGTCTGTACCAAATGAACTCATGTCCCATGTATCAACACCATCCAGAACCTGCCAAGAAGATTAGAAGCTTCAGACTCCACATCAGCCATCACAATCTCAGTAGGTCAGACTTCGTGACAGCTTGTCATCTTCGAGTATATGGAAAGTTGATTGTTTTCTCGGATTGCTTAATCAGCCTTCAAACACCCCACAATTAACCGGATCAACTCTCGATTTGCCTGATCCGAACTCTATGCAAGTTATCAATGAGTCTGATTCAAGGCCGTTGACCTTGAATGATCCAGACTCCTCATTAACCAGGCTCATCGAAGTAATTTAGATTTATCTTTGCATTGCCACATATATAAATATTGATGATCCCCTGACATGTTTGATTCATCAGCGTCCTATTATTGCAACTCCCGCAGCATTGACTCCTGATGTGTCAGCTGTAGACTCTATGGACATTGACAATCAATCTGACTCGAGTTCTCGGACCCAAGTACCATTGTGTAGAGGCCGCGATGGGGTGAGTACAAAACTCAGTGACATTCTGGACCACATGTTGACTGAGTCAGTGCTTCTTGACTAGTCTCAAGCTTCTGTCATTGCCGGTAGTTCATCTTGGGTACATCAGACAGCAAACATGGAAAGGGGAAACACGACACCGAATCAGCGAAATACAAATGCATTCTCTGAAGCAAGGGTATGTTCCCTACCGCCTCAGAAGGGCGTCAAGAGTAAAAATTAGCTGATTTACTAAAGCTGGTCTAAACCCTCTCCTAAAATATCTCCATTTAGCTTTCCAACACCCGTCTTCCATCCACTCCCAATCGTAGATCTACACCCGTTAATGCTGCCTTCACCCCAGTTGATCAAAACATTCGAATCAATCCGAGATCCAAACCAAAGTTATGGGTACGACCTTCCAGAAGTTCGGGGAATAAACTCAAGTCAAGCTTAAGGCAAGAAAGAGATGAGATGGATCCAGAGACAAAGGATGATGATTACAATATGGTGAGTTCGACAATATTATACAAGCCCGACTTCAATAACCTAACCCATATCTTGTCTGGATTAAAAAGTCCAGAGCTACTCAGAAACATTTTCGATACCTCTTGGGAACCAGCCGGGAAAAACACTCATTCCCCAGATCACCAACCCGTGAAGATCTGGAGGCGTTACCGGACCTTCCTGATGGAACCGCACCCCTTGGTCTATCAGCTCCATACATACTCAAACCTAGTGAGCTCTCTCAACAATGGGAGCACGATGACGAAATGGGCGAGGGATTTCGAAACCGCTGTGAACAAAGGCTCAGACAATATGGACTCCCTTACGTTGGTTTGAGCTCTGTACGGAATGACCCAAAAGCCGAAGAATGGAACCGACGTACTTTGGAGTATTGCTTAGACACATTCAACTGTGCATTGGATGGTTTGGAGTATGAGGACATATTCCGATTGGATCATGCAGAGCTTGATGTAAATAGAATCAGGGATCTAATGGCGACTCATATAAGATATCATATCAACAACAAACGAATCTTTTTGAAAGATGATAGTAACTTAAAAAAGCATATGCAGGAAGACCGCCGGGCAAAGCGAGCCATGAATGTACGTCCTGTTTTCATGTGGGCATTTCCATCACCACAAGACTGACACCAAGAACCCACATACAGCTTGCAGAAAGACGACACGAAGCTTGTCAAACATACGAAGATTTGAATGCTTACCAGGATCTGTTTCTGGATCGTTGGTACTGTTCGTCTGACGAGTCTGATGATGAGGTTCTTGAAGAAGATCGGATGCGGGATATTCCAATCTGGCGGAGTCGAGTAGGGACGGCCCTAGTGGAGTACATCGACGCAGCTTATCGTCAAATAAGACAAGACGAAGTTCCCAAACGTCCTGGAAGAAAACCGGGGAAGCGTAAGACATCAACCACCGCGCCAGTCGTGGGCTCCTCAAAATGGCCAGTAGGTCTTCCTAGTGATTGCTATGATTCCGCATGGGTTGCCAGCCTCAGGCCAAAAGATCGCAAGGCCCTCAAAATGAAGCCGGCAGCGTTGCAAGATGTTCCTGAACTACTAGATTGAAGATTATGGGGGATTGCACAATGTTATCATAGTTTTTTAATTGTTATCATTACTTTTATACCTAGTTTGTCATGAACTGCTAGATCAAAGCTTGTTGTGCCAAAAATATTGTGCTTTTCTCATTATCAGGATAATCCTTATCTTACTTTTGCTGCAAATTCGTATATATTTCTTTCGATCTTTATCTTTTATTTAAGATGACTTAGATTGATTATTTCTTTAACTTTATGTCTACGCCGAATAACATACACCTGCTTTAACAGTCCAACAAAACAACTCTTGCATCCACTATCAAGGTCACCTTTTTCCAATAGTGAAATGTTCAAGGTGAGGTCTTTAAATCCGTGTTGTGAATTTTACGTGAATGTATGCTACAACGGGAAAGTTTTTTACGGGGAAAGTTTTTTTACGGAAAAACCGTAAAACATTGGACTTGACACCCCTTACTTTCATGGTCAAAATAAAAAAACATCTCATCAAACCTGCGTTGCGCCAACTTTTTACGAGACAGTGAACGGTCATATTCCGCGCATGCAAAGCTTATTGACTGAATTAGAGGGCTAATTCTTTTTTTGAAAATGAAAATGGCTGGTTATCACAAAACACTCAGCTCAACTCATCACACTTCTTGCCAAATGAACAGAAGTTGATAATTTATCAAAACCATCGGCATGAAACTGTTCTGGCCATGTTTATTTCTTTTTAAATTTCATTCTTTAATTGTTTTTTGTTGACGTTATAGGCATTGGTAATAACTCTACTTTCTCGGATGGGTTGATTGGTTTTTGTAACTAATGATGTCTATCAGAGCAAAATAAGACTTTGGAGCATCATATATTCTATTTTTTCGGTATCAGGAGTGCCAGGATGAGATGATTGAGGAGAGTGGGATTGGATCGGACGAGAAGAGGCGACAAGAAATGGCGGTGTTGAGTCGCAGGAAAGAACGTGACCTTAAATCACATTGAGGTTGAGCGATGAGAAGATCCTTTCGCATGATATTCAAGTGATTCAGTGGATTGAATCGCGTGAGGTGTTCAGTCGCATTGAGGTGCCGCGAGCCTGAATCGCTTGAGCGGTTGAGTCGGATTGAGTTGAGGCGATTAAGGATCGCGTCATCGTCAAGTCGCGTTGAGTAGACGCGATCCTAAATCGCATCTGGGTAGAATCACACACATGTATGTGATTTGACAGGTTCAATCGCTTGAAACCTGTGCGATTTCACATCGCATGGGACTTTCATCGCCTGTCACATACGCAATACGAAATCGCATCTCACCTTGCTATGTGAGCGCGCATGCCGAGATGCGACGCAATTTTGTTGGAAGTGGTACCTGTCCAACACCCACTCTAATATCCAATTACAGTTGACTCTGTCAAAATCAATACCCAAAAAATGGGGGCCACAACTATTGGTTTTGACCGAGTATCTGATTTGTCAGATCTCTGTTGAAACCAATAGAAATTGCATTGCAGACGAATTATTGGTTATCAAAGAGAAACATGTACATGTTCTATCACAAGCATTTCCTAAGAATCATTAGAAAAGACATTATGAAGGCTTTCCTGCTTGGCAGCTTTGACACGGACTAAGCAACAATGTCTTACAGAGGCCCCGCTCTTTTGTAGGTTTTAAGAAATCAATGTTCTTGGTTTGTAAGGCTTTCAACAATGTGAGAGATCTTGTATTTAGAAAGATCCTTGGGAAGCATGGTACCAGAATTGGTCATCATGATTTTGAGGTGAGAAAAATTGTGTGAGAAACAAGTTAAGATGTGGCACTGGCAGAACTACACCAATTATAGAGACAAAAAACATGCAAAAACAAAAAAAAGAACGTGCAAAAACCCAAACCACAAGTCACATGACCCACCAGATTATGGGTTTTGAACTTGGGATCCCAAAAATGGATCGCACTATTTGGCAACCGGTTTGAAATTCCAAGCACAGTTTTTGAATCAAACCAGGCAAACCGCTTTCTATAACTTTCACTTTGTTTTGATTGGGTGGAGATCTCAATCTCACATCACTTGTCTCCAATTCATTTTGATTTAGACATTTTTTGGATTGTTTTGTTTTTTTGGAAGAGCAACCCAAAATTAAGAGACTTTGTTGTTTTTTCAACTGGAAAGGCAACAAACATGAACAACCTTACAAACCAAGACATGAATGAACGTGACATGGGTAATGAGCGTGATGGAAAAAATAAAAAGATGAACACAAAATGAGCCAACAAGGAGATAAACAAAAAGAGAGTTAAAACCATAGCCTTTGTAATCTTCAACCCAATGCGGTATCTTAGTGCTTTCAAGCATGTCAGGGTTGCAATCCCAACCCCATACTTTTGAAGATGGAAGAGACCCTTTAGGCCCTAAACCAAGGCAATGTGTTGTTGACAAAAGCAAGAACTATTGGAGCTTGCTGGTTTGGTGTGGTGCAATAAGGGAAATGGGGTTTGGCATTGAGTTGACGGGAGCATGGAACTGGAACTTACCATCTTTGGACTGTAGGAGGTAAGCATTGAGCAAAATCTTTGAAGGTTAAACTTAAAGGAATTAAGCATAGCCCGGTTTCATGGGATTTAAGGGCCGCTTATGTGTGGTGAGTGCCCGAAATTCAATTCTTGGGCCAGGTTTGTCAAATTGCTGGAGCTGCAGCCACGTTTGACCCATGAAACTGGGCATTGTGATTTTCAAACCGGTTGCCAAATAGTGTGATCCCCAAAAAACAGTATTGGTTATTGGTTTTGACAAAGTTATTGGTTTTTGGACTGATTTCCCTTCAAATACAAAATATTTGACTGAAAAAGTATCAGTTTTCCAAGAGTATTGGTTTTGACACAAATTGTTTTTGACAGAGTCAACTTTAACTTATTGACTCTCTTAACTTTCCAAAAAAAAAACAGGAACACAGGTACGTGCATCGAATGAGGATGTGATCAAGGAGATTTGTAGATGAGTCAATAGTGTGGTTCAATCTTAAGAAAAAGTATGTCATCAGAAGTGACAGTGGTTTTCTGTCACTTCTGATGACATTGATGCAAGACATCATGTTTTCTGTACTTGTGATCCTCTGTGATATTTCACATGTGAATCTTGCAAGCTTGAAATGTATGATTGTTTCTTCTGATCTTGGTTTTCATGCAACAACAACTTGCTCCCTACTGACTCAAGGAAATTTAGAAGAGGGGAAGTTTTGACTGGCCCAATGTGTTTCAATCACCATATGATCAAAGTATGTATGACATTGATATGTTCATCCAGGAAGATGATTATTAAGGTTTTACACACCTGCAATTTGACATCAATCATCATCAATACATAGAGTAAATATGTATAGGTCATGTAACTGGTACTCATGAATTCTTCTCTCACATGTAATTGGACTTTGCAAGACTTCAAGACTTCAATCAGTTTATGCTTCAAAATTCTAACTGTAAGCTGATTTGGTAATGTATTATTTCAGATATTCCAAATCACCATAGCTTCAGCAAAGGGCTTGGAACCGAGTTTAAGATGGGAACATCAAATTTACTAACGTCAATATGATGTTCACTGCTAATTGAATTGTCACAAACTGACATTCTGACAACTCCTCAATGAATTCAAGACTACCCATGAACCTCCAGGATTTGCATTAGCAAGAGAAGGTTCAATCACATTCCAATCACACTCCGTATTTAGTAATACAACAATGTGCTGCATTATTTCATCCAACCCCGCAAGGGAAGAGACATGATGTGCTCAAGCTTGATGTTTTGCAATATCAGTTTCTATTGGAGTGAACACATGTGATAAACATTCAAATTTGGGTTCATCTGAGGTAAACTTGATCTGATCATACTGAAACAATGAACACTTAGGTCCAAATACCCTTGAGAAAAACTTCAATAGCAATGGGGAATCGTAAGACCCAATTTCCACATGATTGTGTGGAATTGAAAGAATAGATGGTCTTCAATTTGAATACTATTACAGTTTTTATTTGGTATTTGAGTCTTGATTGTTAATTGATGGGGACATGCTCCCGTAATTAGTTTACAGATAATTAAGCATAAATGTGAGAACATGTCTCCAAATCCAAACCAATCTAGCAAGTTTATACATATGGGATAATCACAATTGATTTGTTTATTGGCTTCTGTAATAGCTTGAAAATCTACAGAGAATTCAATAAAATAATCATCTCACCAAGCCCAAATTCATAAAAACTCAACAAGGTTGGTTCAGAAATCACCAAACAAAGGCCTGCTTACCTACATGGGTAAAGAATTGGATTGCTTTCCAGAATGTTTCAGTTGATTAAATACCAATTATCCTTCTGTTTAACCCTTTCCATGGATTTCTACATACCTTGAGTAACAGTTGAAGGGGAATAGTTTTGAAGAGAGGTGGATCTTGTAAAGACATCATCAGACACAATCTTTTTGAAAAGAACCCCCATGAAGTTGACTTCACCTAACAATTTTCCATTAAATACATCTCGACTCTGGACCTCCCTTATCAACAGCTTTTCCATGGGATAGTTTCAAGTTTTTTTACGTTCATTGACTTTCAAATAGAATACAACACAGAAGCAGACATCAATCACATTAGCCACTGAAAGCCAAAGAGAATGTGGAATGAGCATGGTGGCTATGAATTCAATTTTTTTAGTTAATTGGTTCACACTACAAGAAACATAACATTTTCTGGGCAGAAAATTAAATTATTTGTATACAAAAATCTGGAAAGGTCAGAAACAGAGCAAAAAATGTGAAAAAATATGCATCCTGTTCCTTGGTATGAGATCTCCAATCTGCATATTTTTCCGTATTTTTGGGGTTCATATTGGTGAGTGTACTAACAATAAACCCTCATAATCACCAGATTACCACCTGTAACAGATGCTGGAATTTGGCTGATCAGTGCTGAGAGAAAGTTTTGATTACTATAAAACCCCATAACTTTGTCAATTCTGGCTCAAAACACTCGATTCTGGGTGCATTAGAAAGCTGAATT